ACAGTGATCTGTTTTTCATCACCTATTCATAATACACAGAATGATTGAAGAAAACATTATTCCTAATTGATTTTAACACAACTGAATATCCCATTCATTATGAGTCTTTAATGGTGATAATAATCCTTTGGAACTAGAAAGTGGCTGCAAACCAGAAGGAGCACATGATTGGTCTTTTGGCTAAGTGGATTTGTTCTTGGAAATGCCTGAAGGACTGTTGATCAAATTCTATCCAAGGATGAACCGAACATACCATACCCACCTAAAGAGCACAGCATGAAGTTTGATTTCTTAAATCTATATAATTGAGCAACAAATAAATGCAGCTATGCTGATGTATTTTCCTGTCAAGAAATACAAGTTCATTATAATATTCTGAAATACAGTTTTCCAATGAATTATGCCCAGATTCACTATTGATATGTATATCCATAAATATTTCAATATTTTTACAGACTTTACAATAGGAAAGGGAGAAAAAATAATACAAATAAGGTTCAGATATGATTGATTAATTTGAAATAAACCTTTTATTTAGTCACTGCTATAATTTTTCACAAGAAACAAAACTGCACCTGGTAGTATTGAAAGATTGATTTAAAATATACCAGTGTCTTTACGTTTGGGTCCATAGAGCACAACATAATAGAGAGATTTGTTGTGTTGCCAATTACTGGGTTGTCAGTGTCTTAGTGATCTACAGAATAACAGATGTGAAAGAGATATGGGCAATAAGCTTAGGAAAGCTGATACTAGCACATGAGGATTTGTAGATTTTGATTTACAATTTTTTATCTTTGGACATTTAAGAGCAGATAACATGCTTCATTTCATTTTTTTTTTCTTTGGGAAGAATGAAACCAGCCACTGATGCCTATTATTTTTGAATACTCTATTTTGCAAAACCTATTTACAAAAATGTCTAGTAGACAAGTATATTGTTTTTATATTAATACCCGAATATTCTTACTGGGCTTGCTTCTTGTTATAAAAGATACCAGCATCAAGTCTCACAAATCCATAACAGATTTTATGGATCTGTACTAGAACTAGCTTTTTCTAATTTTAATTTATATACTGTACTGTATATAAATTGATGTAGTTAGTAAACTAGTCAGGTTTGCAAATTATATGAAAAAGGAGTAAGAAGTGTTTATGTTGACATTTTTTTTCCTGTGAATTTGGGAAAGCAATAAACAGAAGACAAAATGATAGGATAGTCAAACAATAGAATTTAAATCCAGACATTTTGTGTTAAAATTCTATAATATACACTACTAGAAAGACAATTTAAAATATTGTGTAAAATATTGGTCACCACATTCTAGAAGTACATATTGTTGTTCTAAAATCAGCCCAGAGAAAATAACCAGATTAATTCTGGTGTGTACACTGACAGACTGGTGGAACTGACTTTTGTTAGTCTTGTACAGAGAAAACTCTGAGGGAATATGATACAAGTTTCCACAATCCTCAAAGGATTGACAAAGTCAAGCCTGTGGCCATCTTCAGAATAAAGCAGTGAAACACAGGCCAGAGGACACAAATGGAACTATATGCAACTGCATTTAAAACTGAGAACAGGAGGCATTTATGTTAGAATATGGATCAAGCTACTAAGCTATGTTGTTGAAATTGTAATCTAGGTTTCTTTTAATAATCCTTGAATCAATGAACTACCAAATGAGCTGGACTCCTGGACTAACTCACAGTTATAACCATTCATACTGTAAGTTTTATGTGGTGTTAATAAATGACACTAGCTGATTTGTTACTTAGACTTCTGGTTATTTGCTTTTCTACTCAGTCTTTGATTTAAAAAAATACTCCGGTTCAAACTTCCAAAAGCTTCAGCATACAGTATTTCATGTAGATGGGAATATTTCAGATATTTTCACAGAGTGTGTTGTTTTTTTCCTTTTGCTTAAGTCCAATTACATTTACAATTCAGCTAAGACAATCAATGAAAGACATTGCAAAACCTGGAAATCAGTACAGGTGTGACTTCAGTTGCAAATTTTAAGAACTGATATACAGTACATTTAAAAATCTGCCTCAAATATAAAAGTACAATGAGTCAACCTGTGATTTATAACTTGGCTGGTAGAAAAAAAAAAAAAAGCTACATTGTTCCCTAGAATCAGTATTGGGAACGACTGCTCAGACTATACAGTACATCAGAGTCTGACCACTTCATGCTTTTCTTGCATAATGTTTTCATTTACAGTATAAAGGTTCACAATTCGTTTAACCCTTTCACCATTCTTCCTCTAGGGTCCACTACTGTTGTTTTGATAATTATGAGCTGTGTATCAGGTTGTGAAAGACTTCTCTTGTCTGTTTCGCAAAGCAAAATTGTTTTAAAATATTTATTGAATGCATCGTCATGATAAAATGTGTCTCAACTCACTGAGTGCCAACCCCCTGGCAGTAGGATGAGGAGGCTGCATGGGTCCCCCCCCCCATGCAGAGTGAGAGGTTAATGAATAGGGCAGCTGCCAATGTGGAGATTGGGAGGAGCAAAAGGGATGCAAATGAGAAAACTCTTACTGGTTCTATTTACAGTTTTTCTAAGTTTAAGAAATGGCATCATACGGTAAATGATTACAAGTCAAAGCGCCTGAGTTTACATTCTTCTTGGCGTCATTCCTCCAAGATTTTGTTGTAAATTCTATTTCAAATGATTGTGGTGAGAGATGATGTCAAAATAAAATTAGTAATGATAGGAATGATACTATACGTCTTTATATTTCAAGATGACAAGTCAGATTTTTTTGGTTGTTTTCATCATTTGGTTTGGACAACCTTATTTGTAAAATAGCCATTTTTGTACTGTTGGGTGCACTCCATCATGCAGGATATTCACTAGTCCTGTAAGCTTTCTTGTTATTCTTTCTTGTAAAATGTAATTATGGATATACAATCAATAGTTTTATCCCATTTCTAATATCAGTGGTATCTCACTACATAGCTTTTCTCTATCCTCTTTCAAGACTGTGTTTGAAGAAATAAGCAAAAAGTTACTTGGTTACTCTAGTCTCACATTTTTTATCTTTCTTAGTCTAACTTTTGAATGCCATCTGTAGCTTTATGACTGAGAGGAGAATTGAACCTGTTACAAGGGATAACATTTTCATGGATAGAATTAAGATAAAATGCCAGCAAATATGCTGTTACATATTATAAACTTAAAATAAAAATTTGCATAAATCAATAGTTTATTGAATGTTTTCTGTTCTTTATGGGAGTCCAAGTAAGATTTAAAATATAATTCAGTCTGCAATTGTTTTCCCTTCATCATCTTGGCTGAACTCTGCTGCTGATTTCATGGATCTATATTACTTCATTCTTGACAAGAATCAAGCAATCTTAACAACAGCTGTCACATATTTTATTATTGTGGTCAGGCTAGTACAGTGTATCTTTAAAAATAAGTTTAGAAAACTATTTTTTCTCCTTTAGGCAACAACCTTAAATATTTGTCTTTCTATAAATTAGAACATTAATGCGAGAACAAATTAAACAGGAAAGTCACTGCATGGCTTGTTTTTGAAAGATGAAAAGCAAATGTTTAAGAAAATATACGCCTCAACATGTAAAGAATTTCCTTCATAGATGCAAGCAAGCTGTGAAGATGAAAACTTTCTTGTTCCAGCATTACAGGCACACCATCATAGGGTTTAGATATTTGGACAGGCCACAGTTTGCTTTATAACTTTTATAACCTCTTAATATATATAGTTTTCATTGCTTCTATAAACCCATGCCATTGCCATAAACTTTTTTGGGTTTGTTTTTGCCTAAGTGGCATTGCTTCATTGAAAAGTCAAGTTAAAGATCAAAGCTGATGAAAGGGTGTTGCTAGAAACAAACTGCAAATAACATTAAATAATACCACAGCAAAGCAGGAACGCAGAATTTCTAAGCCAGAAATGGGGTGGCTTCCAGTATTAAATGGAAACACATGCTGCATCCCAGGAACTGTAAAAATTTCCTTGAGTTCATGTTGAAATTAAACAAGTACAACTGGCGAAATTCCCTGAAAAAGATGCAAACGTCTTAATGAAACTGAGGTGAACCTCAGGTCCCGAAACAGCAAGCTGAACATTTTTCGCCCCCCTTTTCTCTCTGCCTCTACTAAAGGGGTTAGAGATATGAATTGTTATATCTTCCTAGTTTCAGGAAATGAACATTTTTATAGGTATTTTGTTTGATAGGCTCCTTCATTTTCATTTCAATGTATCCACTTTTGTTTTCTGTCTTTTTCCATCATTAAATGTGCCTGAAGGCACTGGAAATAACCATGAGTGGATGCCTCAAAGCTAATCTTCAAATGGGTCCATGCACTTCTCTCCTGGGATAAAGTCTTTCAGCAGCATCTACATTAATATAGTTTAGAATCAAGGTTCTTGCTTGGGTATTTTTTCAATCATATTCAGGGAACAGGCTATCTTCCCATTTTATTTTGAAAAAAAGTCTTTCAATATTTCTCTCTGTGCTGTGTTAGAGGTTATAATGAGTTTCCTGAAAGAACTACATTGCTGTCACTGTATACCTGATAGCAGAGTTTTGATTCTTATGTATGCAGACAGCACATCTCCCTCATTCTATTGTGATTTCCACTTTCTTCCTTTATTATGAAGCTGAGGATGGCTGTTTACTGGGAGACAATATCATGTTAGAGATTATATAGTGAATGGAATGATGTGACTAGAGACTCCGTTTCCAGATCACCTGGCACTCGTGAGGTATCCGCATGAACACATAAACACACATACGTAAACATTTAACTATCCAAACAAAGGCAATAACGCTAGTTTCCAACGTAAACAAACCAGTTTGGAATTCCGTTGATAGCTTTGCTTTCTCTGTGGGTGCACACACAGAGTAAAGTAAGGTTGTTCCCATATTATCAAAATTAAACATTAACTCAAACCAAACACCTGTTTTCCTTTGCTTTGCTCTAGAAGTGAAATGAACCAAATTGGTGATCAACTCACGTTTCAAATAAATAAGCTGCTCGAATTTCTCACCGGCAAAATAGTTTCTCCCGCAAACTTGTAGGACCCAAACATTGATATGGCAACGGGGGCTGGCTTAGTAGTGCCTGTTTCAGGATTGCGCATGCGTAGATTAATTTGTACGAAGTTACCATTAAAAGGGGGTCGTATTTTCTTAAACAACAGTTATATACATAAAAGGAGTTTGATATTTTATTTTTGGTAGTAATGTGTTCATTGTTTAATTGTGTTCTTAATTGGGAATTGTGTGTATCAGAATTCTGATTATTATTTTGTAAAATTATTTTATTTGCTTTATAGTGGAATATTCTAGGGGGAGGAGTTTAACCTAGAAGAGGAGCTCTTCAAGATAGGAGAGGGGTAGATAGGAGAAAGTGGATTGTGGGGGGGGTAAAATAGGAGCTGCCTACAACAATCTATTTTTATAGTAATTAATGTATAATTGTACTACAGCTTTGTGTTGTTTTTTTTTCCTGGTTAGTTTGTATTTTTCACTTTGTTTTTTTGGGGTGTGGACTCTGGGAACACAGTTCCTCATAATAAACACCATTGCACATCTTTGCAATTGTGGCTGTGCCATCGTAATTGTTATATTCTATCTACGCTTCTAAACTTTGCAAGGAGGAGACTGTGACAAATGGATAGATATTAATGATAGAAGTCCCGGAGTTTGAGTTGAATTTCAAGACAAACTTTAAACCTTTTTGCATTTCATTTATTATATTTTTAATGAATAACTCTTAGTTTACTTCTGTCTGTTTGATGGGACCACATACAATTCTATCTTATTCTGAAACACAAATTTAATGTCAACGCTGATTAAAACTCTTTCCATTCCATTATCATTTTTTTCTTTGAATGTTCAGTATTTCCACATTTAAAATGGTTTATTTTGACACTTCCTCATACTATGGTCTTAATATGACACAGAATGTGTTGTACATCTGCATATTTATAAATAGTTAATGAACTGACATTTCTAGCATTCAAAATGTAATTTATAACCTTGATATAATTTTTATTACCATGCGCTTACTGGACCTATCTGACCTTTAAATTTGAGAATTTAATAATTTCTCTGCATCCTTGTCTGATTATAACAGTTTAGATGAGATGGGGCTTGTAGTTAAACTGTAACTTTGAATTCATTTGCTTCTGTAGAAACACATTGACTTGGAAGACTGTGCCAATTAATGCACTTTACCTATAATTAAAATTATTGTTTATCCCTTATCAATATGATGTGAGTACTTTTTATGTTACACACAGAAACTAAATGGCTTCTTTATTTTAGTGGTGTGGTGGATTAGTTATGATACTAGCATAATTTTGTTTGAATTCTATTTCAATTTTAAATAATAATGGTTGCTTGCATAGTTCTTCAAATTTAAATGATTTTTTTCAAAGAGAATCAGTTGATGCATTTATTAAAATACATTTTTTGATGGCTGAATAACCAAACCTTAAATATTTTAACTAATTCATCAAATACTGGCAAGCAACAGGCCCAAGTCAGGACACAACCTGGACAGGATGCCAGTTCATTGCACTGACACAAACAGAAACTCTCACACACTCACACCAGAGTCAGCTTTTCCCAGAAGCCAGTTAACCAACTGGTATATCTTCTGAGGAAACCAGAACACCTGATGAAAACCCATGCAAACATACAAACTCCACACACACAACACCTAAGGTCCTAAGTTGAACCCAGGGCTCTAACACTACAAGGGAGCAATGCTAACCACTGTGCCATGATGCCAGCCTAGAATAACTTAAATGTAATTTAATTCTAGTGTTAATATTTGAATTGTACACTAGGAGATAAGTTAGGCACATCCCAAATTTGACATCAATATTTTTAAAAGATTAAATGTGGCTTCAATTTCACATACAGTAACAGCAGTAATAGTGTGTTTAACAATAATACAATCTCAAAGCAGTTTTGTTTGAAGCATCTTTTTTTATATACTTGAAGTGGAAGAGTTGTTTATATGTCTATTTTAAATTAGCAAGTTTGGATTGAAATATTAATATTTAATTAGGACCCATTGTGACCTCTGTCGTCAACATAAATACCGTACCAAGAAATGCTTTTCAATTTTATTTATTCTTTTTTGATTTACGAAACAGCAGAGTACAGTACATACCTATTGGAAGTTGGACACAGCTGCCGCTCTAATTTATGAACAGACAGTGACGGAAGTCACTGCCTGGATTTGAACATGCCATCTGTATGGTTTAGAGTTTATCACATATTCAGGGCAGGGGATCTGACTAAATTAGCCACTAAGCCGTTACCAGTTAGAAATAGGAGATGAAGTTTGAAGTAAAAAAACATTAAAAAGTGCTATACAAACAATAATGTGAATACAGATGAAAAAATGAACAGTACACTACTGGCATTTTTATTTCTAACACTTGAAACACTATTTGTTGTAACACTATTCAAAGTGTTGATTGAACAACAAAGTGTTCTTCAATAGTCAACTATAGTTCTCAATGCAAATTTCAAAATGCTGAATGCATTTCCATAATTTCTAAAACTAAATTTGCAAATGGAAAAAATGGCATGTTTTGCTTTACAAGTGTTTTTTGTATACTCTCCAGACCTGTACTGAAAGAAATTCATTCTTCAGACTCCTTTTATGAACATTTTAAGCATTTGGTATGACATACCATAAATCAGTCTGGGAGCCAGAGTATTCAAAGCTGACACTTTCGCACTATGTGAGAGTCAATGGGGGAATGAATGCCAACAGAGATTCTGTTCTCCGATAACAGATTGTTGTAGAAGCCTTTTATTCACAATAGATCAAGGCTAATTTCCAATGGTAAATAAATCACCAAGTCAGCAGGTGGTGTAACTAACTGGCGCTTGCTCCCCACTGATTCTTGAATTTAATATATATGTTGGAGGTAAAAAGACCCCAAAGTCCCGGAAATCATAAACACACACTGTAAATTATTACAGCTGTTTCTGTTTTCCTTTGCTGTTTCTTTTGGATCCTTGTCACCAGAACACTACCTTTCCTAACTCTTAGTTTGAGGAAGTGGCTGCTGACCCTGTGTTAAAAACACCAACCTTAAAATGAATATGGCTAAATTGGCTTATTAGAAAAAGATAGGCATGTTTCACCAAGTATGAATATTTAAAGAATATTGCATGTCTGATATTTCGGTACTTTAACAATAGATTGATTTGTTAACACTTCAGCTCCAAAACAAGTGTAATGGATGTATAACAACAACTACAAAGACATTTTAAATGTCAGAGTCTGACTCATTCTGTATTACAGGGATACCTGTGGATATTACAACCTGTGCGCTGACTGATTTGTTATCTAGCTATTTTCCAACATACCTCAGGGAAGCAAGTGAATCAGTAGATAAATGTGGCCTCCATTTTAGTACTACAGGCAGTATATGCATCATTCCTGTATTTCTACAGTGACAGGTGTTTAATGTCAAGTTATTTTGTACAATTTAAGGAGTCTACTGCAGCAGGCCTAAATATATATTTTACTGGCCCCAATCTTTCACAGAATTATCGTGAACTATAGGTCAAAATACTAATATGTTCTTCTTTGTCGAAATTTTAATTTACAGGCACATCATGCCATGCCCTGAACAGTATATCACCTTATTTGTAAAGTTTTTGGTAACTGAATGAAGCAGATTAATCACTGAATGAAAATCCCTTTCATTTCACATATCAATTGGAAATATATTCTTGACTAAATAAATCAATGCTGTGACTTATACCACATAGTCACAAAAATCATAAATTATAATAGCTTGACAAATAATAGTGTAATATGTGTCCAAAATGTGTAATATGTGTACTTAAAAGTGTTTTTATGCAAAAATATATTTACAAAGGAAAAAAAACAAACGAAATTCAGCAAAAATAGTTAACGGTAATTTTTCCAAGGAATTTACCAGCAGTTTCAAATAATAGCTCTACAATCGCCCAAGCTATTTAAATGGACACAGACAAGGATACTCCACAAATACTAAGACAAGACAAACATGATACATCATAAGTACTGTACCAGAATAAATGTCCTAAACTCCTCTCCTAGTTCCTCTTGATGGACAGTAAACACTCCATTTAGACTAGAAGTGAGTAAGGGTTTGTAAACCAACACAAAATGGTGGAATAAACAGACAACAGTCAAGGTCTGCAACAAGTATGTAAAAAAATAAAAACAATAGCAAATAAACAAAATTAAATTAACAGTACTTATGTACCATAATTAAACTATAAATAAAAAGATATCTAGCCAAAGGAAATTAAATTTCCCAGAATTAAATGGTAAAATAATAATGAAAGTGTATGTGTGACCTCAGCAGAGATCATGCAATAATGGCATGCAACAGCCCTTCATTGCATTACTTCCCCCCTCCTTCAGGAATGAGAGGGTAGTCCATTAGACAACAGCAGTCTGAATAGTCTAATTGGTCAGTAAAGTCAGTATGATAAGAGCAGTTAGAGTCATGAAAACTGTCAGCTGGGTCAAGACTGTCAATGTGTTCAAAGCCATCACAGTAATGAAAGTGCTTTTACCCTTACAGTCCTTAATCAGTCAAATCTGTGTTCAGGTGTCAGGACAGAAAATCAGCAGTATAATTAGTCGTAGACGATGAATAACATCAAATTTGAATGGTTGTAGTGACAAAGTCCAGAGTGTCAGCTGATGATTGGCAGCCTTCATAGTTTTTTTAGCCATTGCAGGGCACATTATCTTTCTCCAGGATGAAGGATCTACCCAGCGGCTGAGACGCTTTAGTGCACATTTAATAGCTAGGCACACCATTATAATTATAGAATAGTGAATAGTGATTCTCCTTTGGGGGAGTAATAACATTCTAAAGAGCACAATGTGATTGTCTTGTCCTTCCAACTCCTGAAGCAGCACTGCACTGAGTTCTGTGAGGAGAAATGCAATATTAGCAGACCCAAGAATAAAGTGATGATATCAACCAACCAAGTTTAAGAATGACTGAATTCCTTTCTTGTTTGCTGACCT